GGACCTCCCCCACGACCTAAGGGCAGAAACTGTCGCGGCTCCTAGGACTGTACTGTCCCACGGAAGCTACCGCGGAACCACCATCTTGGTATCACATGACTCCCAAGCACCAGCGTCGCGTGACCCGGAAACGCTCTCACTGACTTCCGAGTAAGTGATGCCTTTTAAGGCACTGTCAATCAGTCCCTCCTGAGAAGAAGTCCCATTGACCAACCACTGTCCTAAAGAAAGGGAAAGTAGGACACAGCGGGGTGGAAAGGAGGAGGAGAAAAGGTGTTGGATGAGCGTGCTGGGGCATGAAGCATTCTGGGAGTTGTAGTTCGAGGCTGCTCGGTTAGCGGAAGTTTCCAGTGAGCGCGAGTTTGAGCGGGACTTTGAGGTGTGGGTTCCACGTTGAGGCAGCAGTGGCCTGGAAAAGGTGCATTATTACAGTGGCTCTCAGAGGGGTGCCTCGTGGCTTCTTCTCTGGGTTCCACAATATGTACGGGCCCCGTGGAGTTGCTGCTGGTGCAGGGCTTAGGGAATGATCTTCCCAATCACCCTCTTAGCGTTCCAGTGGCAGGGAGGGCCTGGAGGCCCTGCCTTGTCCCGTGCTGCCATGGAAATGGCCTTCCGAGGAGTGCGAAAAGTTCTCTGTGTGGCGGAGAAAAACGACGCTGCCAAGGGGATCGCCGACTTGCTGTCTAATGGTCGTATGCGGCGGGTAAGAAGCATTTCGTTCGGCTTCCTTGAGGAACGCCCACAAAGGTAGACCGCGCGTTGGGTACTCAATCAAAGCCGAGGTGAACGCGACTCCGCCTCTAGCGCGGCAGAGGCCCCCTCCCATCCGCCCTCACCCCTCAGACTCTCCTCAGACTTCAGGCTGCTTTAAACGTACGACTTGAACGGCGTTTGTTAGATCTTTGCCCATCGTCTCTGTCTGATTGTCTCAAATACCTGTGGACGATGGGTCTTCTATGAGTCTGGAGCGATTGCGAGCAAATATATGTATCTTAACATTCTTTCTTGGTGAGTCTGAAGTTCAGTTGAGTTGGAAACCTGTACCAAACTCCTTTAATTTGGCGTTCAGACCTTGCTTATCCTATCTCTGCATCCTGCAGTTCCAGTGACTTTATGTCTAGGACTGTATCTTGGCAAAGGAAAAGGGGAAGATGGAAAGGGTAGCACCCCAAGAACTGTTGCATTGTCTCTCACTTGGAGGTCCTTCCTATGAGCTGTTACTTTCTTTTTGTAAAGACCTCTGCCTCCAGTTCTGAATTAGTGGGAAAGGAGCCAAAGTTGGGTGGACACTGGCCCCCAACTTCACCCCTTCAAAGTGTCGCATATCCTTGAGTAGTAATTTCTTTTTATGGAGGTAGTGTTTCACTATGTAGCCCTGGCTAAGTAGACCAGGTTGGCCTTGAACAAACAAGAGCTCTGTTTTCCTCTGCCTTTCAAGTACTTGGATTACTAGTTGACATCTAGCCTAACTACTGCTTAAATGTCTGTCTGCCTGTCTGTCCGTCTGTCCCTCCCTCCCTGCTTCGTCTATGCCTGCATGTATGCCTGTGTATTGCATGTATGCCCATGGAGGCCAGAAGTGAGTACTAATGGGAATCAAATCTAGGTACTCTGACAAGTGCTCTTAACCATTGAGCTATCTCTCCAGCCCCTTAAATGTCTATTTTTAAGGACACCCCCCCACACACACACACATACTAATCCCCCACTAAACCTGGGATACTTACCCTCTGTCTCTCTTTGCTTGTTTTGTTTTCCAAGACAGTGTCGTGTAGCCCTGTGTCATGGGACTCACTATGAGCAAGTGAAGGATTTTAAGATTTACTTGTTTGTTATGTATACATGTTATGTATACATTCTGCCAGAAGAGGGCACCATATCTCATTATATGATGGCTATGTGCTGGGAATTGAACTCAGGACCTCTGGAAGAGCAGCCAGTGCTCTTAACCTCTGAGCCATTTCTCCAGCCCAAAGCCAGGGGCTCTTAATAATGTATCATCATGACACGTAGAATGTCGAAGCTGGAATAACAGCATATTGCTGCTTTGCAGAGACCAATGAGTACATAGGAACTGAATCTTTAAAACAGTGCTTTATTTGGAGAGCTGACAATCTTAGAAGACAGTCTTCCATCTAGTCTCCAGCTGGCAGATTATGTAAGTAGAATGGGGTGAGGTAGAGAAAGAAAAGCTGTCAGGTCATTAAGAAGCTTAGTTTTGTCCCCTGGTTAACTACATTTTGAGAATTGTTATGGTCTGTAAGGATAACTAAGAAGTTTGTAGTAAGAAATAAAAAATGAGAATTTAGGTGACCTCAAACAGCTAAAGCAGTCATTATTTGATGCCAGAGAGGTGGGTTTATAGTTCTGATTATGCATGATTAGGGCACAGGACCTAGGCCCTGGATGACCAGAGTTCAAGGAAATAGTGTTACTTGCTTTAGGCTGAGGTTTTTAAAACTAAGGATAGCGAACAGGGTAGAGAGAAATTTATTTGGAGCAGAATGAGGAAGTTAGCTGTTTTCCTTAGATAAGCTACCTGTCTGTCTGTCTGTCTGTTGTCTTTTTTTTTTTTTTTTTTTTTTTTTTTTTTTTTTTTTTTTTTGGCCACCACTGGGTGTCTGGAGTTGGACCAGCTGTCTTCTACAATCCTCAAATACCTGCTTCCTGGAACTTTGGGCTCAGTTTTAGGACCTTGGCTTTTGGGGAGAGGGTTCATGTTTCAATTTGGAGAAAATGTCTTACAACAAGCTTAAGTGTGTTGAGTATGGGTATTAGTAGTATAACCATTATACTACCTAGTTCCAGAAGGAGTGCCATTGTTTGCTCTGTCATGCTCACCACCATTAACCTGCTCTGTTAAAAAGTATTGATTCAGGACTCCCAAGGTCACGTTCTCAGCACAAAGATTTATTTGCCCCAGAAGGACAGAGGACAGGGAATAAGAGACAAACACAGGAGACAGAGGACAAAGGAGAAGGGGAAGGGAACAAAGGAAAGGGGGTAGGGATATTTGTCCCTGGGGGGACAAAGGACTGTCTCTAGATAGAGAGGAGACAGACATGACACATAGGAAAACAGCAGTTTATAAAGGTAAAATGGGAAATCCTGTGTTAGGATGAGGTGTTTAATTTTAATTGGACATGTTAATTAGGTGAGCCAAAGGGGGCTTTTGGTTTCTGGACTTTTTAATACTTTGATAGCTGGACCTTGGTAGTCAGCCTCAGGAGGAGGAAGTAGCCAAACAAGGGAATAGACGTTGATGGTTAGCTTCAGGAATGTAATCTAATGGTTTTTAGTAAGGCAGAGGGAATGGGGGAGAAGGGCAAAGCCTGTCAGAGCCGTGCTTGCTATGCTAGAGCTGGCCAGAGTGCCTTCAGTTACTGTTGTTGTTAGTGGGAGGTTGGATTTTTGAGTTAGGGTAGTGGAGGCTGGCCATAAACTTTTTCTTTCTTCCTCTCTATAAACTGAAATAACAAATTTATCTTATTTTTATTTTTCTGTATGTCTGTGTGTGTGTGTGAGTTTGTGCCACATGTTTGCTTATGCCCTTCAAGACCAGAAAAAAAGCATTGAGTCCTCTGGAACTGGACCCAATTCCAAGAGGCTTGGGCAGGTGCTCTTCTGAAAGAGCAGTGAACACTCTTAAGCAACTGGACTGTGTAAATATCTCTATACAACCCATATTTTACCAAACGTAAGCTTGTTGTGAGACATTTCCTCCAAATTGAATCTCCCCACCCCAAAAGCTAATGTCTTGAAACTGAACTCATAATTCCAAGAAGTAGCTATTTGGGCATTGCAGAAAGCAGCTGGCGCAACACCAGACACCTAAGCCTTGAAATCTTGATTGATTTTCTTGCTCCCACCTTCCAACATGATTATAGAAGTATGACAAGATACATAGCACTAATCCACTTTCTGTCCTTGTGGATTTGCCTATTCTAGACATTTCTTATAAATGGAAACAGACAAAGCATAGCTTTTGTGTCAGATTTATTTCATTTTGCATAATTTTTTATTTTTTATTTTATGTGTGTGTGTGTGTGTGTGTGTGTGTGTGTGTGTGTGTATTTTCTTCAAGACAGGGCTTCTCTGAATTTAATCTCGAGTGCTAGGATTAAAGGCATTCGCCAACCAACGCCCTGTTGGTACTGTGTTTTTAATTTACATTTTTGTAATGGCTTAATGACCAATGATACTGAGTTACTTTTCATGAACTTTTTGGCTATTTAGTTATCTTTCTTGGAGGAATTTGGCTGTGCAACAAATCTAAAGCTTTGCATGGACAAGGCAACTGTTCTACCAACAAACTGTATCCTAGGTCACTTTTAATGTCATTATCAAATCCAGTGTCAAAAACATATTTACCTTTTTTTTTCTTGAGAGTCTTACAGTTAAAATTTTTATTGAGTCCTATATTGCCTGTATAGGTGCACATGTGTCACAGCATGTATATAGAGGTCAGAAGAACACTTGTAGGAGTCACTTCTCTCTTCTACCATGTGATTTTCAGGAGTTGAACTCAGATCATCAAGCTTGGCAGCAGTCATCCTTACCCTCCAAACCATCTTGCTGGCCCGAAGTTATAGTTGTCTTTGATCTACTTTTTTAGTTCATATATCTGTATGTAGGTACCACTTCATCCTTTTAGTATACAGAGATCTATTTGTCGCAGCATCATTTGATGAAGTCTGTCCTTTGAATTCATTTTCTACCCTTGTCAAAGATCAATTAACAGGAAAAATCCTTAATTCCAGGATTAAGGAAACAAATCAGGAAAGCAAGTTTGAGGCCAATTTGGCCTGTGTAGTGAGACTATTTCAAA